ATATATATATACACATATATACATATATATATATGTGAAACACTACATTTTGCTGACTCTCTTAAGAAGCTTCTAAGGCCACGAATAGCCTCTACATAAGCAAGAAAGCATACCCACATGTCAACTGGCAGCTACGCTCATATCCAGCACATGCACCCAACCCACTAACCCACACACCTGTTGACTTGACAGCAGGCGAAGGCTCTCCAGACTCATGTCCTTGGTGGGGTAGGATTCTCCGTAGAAACGGTGTTCCAGAGAGACGATCAGGGCGTTTTGCTGAGTAGCCAGGTCATGCATGAACAACTGTGGATACAAATAAAGACATGGGTTAGAAGAAACACACACGTTATAAAATACACACACGTTAGAAGAAACACGCACGTTAGAAGAAGCACACACGTTAGAAGAAACACACGCGTTAGTCCTTTGGTATCGTAAACCGGTGCGAACGGCGAACAGAACAGGATGCACAAATGCAACGCACTATTAACGTATCTGCATGGAAAAGCAATATATACTGGTTGGTATCCACTGGCAGCGTACTGGGTAATAAAAGAAGGCATCTAATGGCCCTTGTGCACTCCAACAAACAAGCCCGCACTTTAAAGAAAAACATTCAGCAACGAATACAACTCTCCGGCGGTGATTGATTATTCAATTTGAAAATAAGCAAACCCGCACGACTATATATATATATATATATATATATTATACTGCACAACACTTCAATCCGGTCATTTGTATAGGCATCTTCGCACCTGATTGCCAATAGAGCTTGGCGTGCAGGGGCCCTCGCCGCAGATATACAGGAACGCATGCTTGATTTGCTTGCCCTCAATAGACCCGTTATTGACGTAGTACTTCTGTTCCCAGTGCTTACGTGCCACATCGGCCGCAAAGTGGTCATCGACCTGCTCAGTGAACCTGCGACGGTAGAGATAGGGAAAGGGAAAGCTGTGAGAGACGACATGGATGGACGTGTACGTACATGTTATTCGGTTAGGATACTTCAATGATACTATAAACTATCTTGAGGTACCGATTATATACTATCGTGAGGTATCGCAATACATTTATAAGCACATACTACAAAGATTGATTGAAATCGGATCCGGCGTAACATTTGGAATGGTTTGGGGCTACCGACACCGCAAGAGAGCTCAAACTATAGGACCATGAAAGCCCTATAAATACTATTAGGACCACGAATGCCCTACAAATACAATTATGACCATAAGTGCCCTATAAATACTATAGAACCATAAATGCCCTATAAATACTATTGGACCATGAATGCCCTATAAATACTATTAGGAACTTGGGAAAGGACAGAAGGTGTAAACTTCAGCCTAGACCTCCATGAATGCCCTATAAATACTATTAGGACCATGAATGCCCTATAAATAATTAGGACCATGATTACACTTCGATACCATATCACCAACTAGAAGTACCGTTAAAACACTATAGAACCATAGCTCAACCCATACACAATATTGCACCCAGTCCACCTAGATACAGACAAACGAATCTACACACAGTGTAAACCATAGTACTCACCAGTGTTCACTAACATCGACGCTATCGTCCTCAACACCGTTGGCGCCATTCTCACCATTCGTGCCAAAGATCACATCGAAAACACCACCTCGGTAACTCAACAGAGACGACCGGCCCCTGCCAAACGCACCTCCTTGTGATAGAGCCTCTTCTTGCTCTCTTAAGTACTGATCTTCATCCTCGGCGATGCAGTTGAGTAGTGTGTATGACACAAACGTCGCCAGCACGACCAGGAAGGCGAACTTCCAGACGTTGAATTCCTATTCAGGAAAGCGTAAATATGTCTAAATATAAATATAGATATGAATATAAATATAAATGTATAAATATAGATATAGATATAGATATAGATATATATATATATATATATATATATATATATATATTTATATATATATATATACTTGAAAACGTGTGCTCATACGCGTGCATATTATATATATATATATATAATATTTAATATATATATATATAAATTATGTGTAGAGATGCATATAAATGCTTAGAACTATATCAGATATACAGGTTACCGATACGTATTATCTATCTCAGTTGTGCGTTCAACAACTGATTCAATTATTAAGATGCTCTCCTACATGTACTATTCGTGAGTTTACCATTACAAATTTTTGCTATAGGCCTTCTGAATACTTTTAACCACGAATCATTACAAAGATTTTACACATTTACAGATACAACACATCACATTGTAATTACACGCATACCTTGCGAGGAGGAGGAAAGCTTGCGTATAAAATTACAGGCACACGGTCACCGTTGGCCGGTTGCACTGGAACGCTGGAATAGCTCTTGTACGTCGACATAGTCATACACACTGCACTCTAACTGTGTATGTACTAGAGACACTCTGGAGACTGAATGATCGATTTATGTCGTATATATAGTTTTTAAAAACGGTAGATTGTTCGGTGTTTACTATGTATAGTTCAACACACCCGCAAACTGCTTTTTTAATACTAACTACAACAGTCACATAGCCATCGAATGGCCGCAAATGCCCCGAAAGCCGAAAGGCCAAGCCCAAAAGTTGGGTCTATGTAGACTATGGTACGTCACGATTTTTTACTCCGCCGTTTGGCATTTATTGCAATAAAACTACAAAACCACAAATGATTGAAATGAAATCCTGTTTTGTAGTTGTTTTTTATATATATCAAACTTCTTGTGAGCTCTAAGCACTATGAGGCGCTGAGAGCAACACGCGATAACCCCAGGAATTATCTCCAGTAGTTTACCTGATATAGCTAGTTTACCGGAAATATCTCTCAAGGCCCAAAGCGTGTTGCGTTTTAAAAAATGTATGAGCCTTGTAGTGAAGTATAGATTGACGTTTAACGTCGATATCGGGGTGGCCCCATGGTAGTCTTTATGGGTGCATGTTTCAAGCCATTAGGTGCAAATATTTCAGACTTTTATTTCAGACTGTCCTTTGTCTAGCACATTAAGATTTTATGTATCTAGTTTTTTTTTGCTTGCGTATTGTTCAGTTTTCAGAAGGCTATGCGCGCATAGCCGTATAGTCGTATGTACGTACATACATACTTTTTTCTATAAATATTTTTAGAGAGGTTATATGTATACCAAATTGAACCCCTTTAACGGATTGATATTTCCGTGTTGTGATTGGTCTATTTATGTGCTGGTGCTGTGGGCCTGTGGCATAAATCACAATGAATACTCTGAGGCTGAGTTGTCAAGTAATATTCATTGCACAGTTTTTGTCTTTTTGATGTATGTATGTACATACTACACAGGTCAAAGTGTTCTATAAATAGTCAAAGGTTAAGTGCGTATGCCACAGGCCTGAATTCGGAGTCTGGACTGGACTACGAATCTGGTGTTTTTTCGGGGGCGAAAGTCGAAAGGTGGTGGGTTGCACTGTTGCCATACAAATGGCTCAGTGCCTCAGTCCACAACACTCTGGACTCTGGCGCCTGGAGTCTGGAGTCTGGACTCTTGCTTGTGGTGTGTGTGTGTGTGTGTGTGAGTCTCTGAAAGTTTACATCATGGAATATTTAAGAAAAATATGTAAATAAATAGTAGTTGTGTTTGGTGTTCATTTTTATATATAAAAACGACAAAACAATAACTTTTGTACTAAATAAATAAAAGTAGACATTGGTGAGTGTCGGTGACTTCTTGGCCTTGCCCTTGGGACTTGAAGTTCTCTCTCTCTCCCTGTGTGATTTTGAGTGTGTCTGAGACTTTCACACTCTACATTTAAAAATAGCAAGTCTCTGACTCTCTGACTCTCTGTTTGACAGTTAAATACCTGTTCCAGTGTTTCGTTCCTGTGGACTGGGAGTGTAAGTCTGTGAGACTGTGAGACGCGAGTCGCGAGGTCCAGTTGAAACTGGAGTCTTGTCTCTTTAGTCATGAGTCATAAAGTCACGACGAGTATTGACTGTTTAGGTGACTGTTGAGTGTTGAGTTGTTGAACCCCTGCCCCGGCGCCCCCGGCCCCAGGCCCCCTGTCCCTGTGTGTGTGTCGGACTGTCAGTTGCCTTTTGGCTGGATTCAGTACGACATAGAAATTGGAATGGCTCTTTTGTATCAATACTGTAATTTTGTACATCTTACTTTCTCATTCTAAAAAGTGTAAAACGAGAATACTGAGTAGTGTATCTAAATAGTATGTAGTATGAAGTATCGACAATCTACTACTATCACTATGTATGATTTCATTGAGTACTACTATCATAGCTATGTATGTACGTGTAATCGGAAATCTTCTTAGAAGATTGTGAAAGATAGTGTTTCTACTATGTATGTATAATATTTCCATATAGACTCTGAGGGAGTGAGTGACTGTGTGAGAGATAGAAGGGTGTGAGGGGAGAGCCGAGGGCCCGAGAGTATGTAATTTCTGTACCAAACAAGTGGTTTAAAAATTATAAATAGTGTTATGTACTTACGACTGTCATATCTTTCTCACCCACATACACACACTCTCTCTGTGTGTGTGTGTGTCTCTCTCTCTCTCTGTTTGTGTATACGTGTGTGAAAGGGGAGAAGGCATATTCTTAAAAGCAAATATATTTTAAAACAAAAATCAAATGTCCCAAGACGCCTAGCAGTCGTACATCCCCCCAAAAAAAGCTCCGATTTGCCGCTGCCGTGATAGGATTGAGAAAGAAAAGCAGCACTATATATAGCCTTCTAAATTGAAACAACTATACTTTTTTTTACAAACTTAAAAATGTGACAGGGCCTATTTATGTAAATTCAAAAGCTATGTAAACAGACGTTAACCTCAACATCGACAGCAGATTTATTAGCGATAAGGAGTATACAACGAACTGAGGGGGGGAAGAGGGGTTTAGCACCGCAGCGGAATGGTACTTTCACAGGCAAACGAGCGGAGAGCTGGTTTAAAATACATTAGTCGGTTTCAGACCTGCTCATGTTCAAGGAATCTGCTTCGCGGTTTAAAGTCCTAAACCACAGTCTTGGTCTATTTAGAAGGCTATGCCTAAACGCTGTAATTTTGTACAGAGGTAGCGGGTGTCACGTGCAACTACAATGCCTCTCCGGTTGTCTTGTTAATGCCTTCTACAAGGCAATCACACTCAACCGGTCCAATATATATCAAGGCCGTATTGACAAGAGTATAAGAAGGTTTTTATTTTTGGTCGTGGGAATCTGAATTAATAAACAATATCTAACCTGATGGCCAACTCAAGATATACGTGCTAACATAGGCTGCCGTATTCTGGAGCTTAACTCATAGACATTCCAAGTGCCGCCATTTCATCATCTTCTGCAGTTCTCTGTGCGGGTTGTGCTTGGGGCCGAGCGGCTGGAGGTATAGATAGACAAATAAAACATGAGAAGGGATACTAAAATCTAAAAGAATACCTCCATATATATATATATATATATATATATATAGATATATGCATGCATACATACATACATACATACATACATACATTGTGTGTGTGTGTGTGTGTACGTGTATGTACACGCACGTTTGTGTAACATTAAGAATCATACTCTCGCGTCCTTGCCAATTGACAGTTAGTCTATCGACAGGGCGTCAACGTACTTGCGAGGTGATGTGTTCATAATCTATTAGTGTGTTCCTTGGGCTGGCTATTCAACCAATAGTCTAATCTCCATTCACTCCAGTACGATGACAACCACAACAGCAGTATGTGTGAGTGAGTATGTGTATGTGGATATGTATGTGGATGTAGATGTCTATATATAAACAACCCGAGGTACGCCGCACGCAAATAAGTTCAAATGAAAACAAGCTACACCACACCCACTGAGCATGGCACCTGCAGCCCCCACTGTACCAGTACAGCACATACGCGCAAAACACAAACGAGCATTTGATGCGAAGAAACAACTGCAACACAGCCAACGCCAATACTACACGTAACCAGACTACGAACAAGTGCAACCGTATGATAACAACAATACTACACGTAACTACAATACCATCACATGGTTAATCGCAACAGAACGCATCCATTCATGCCATTGCAACTCACGGATAGTCCATACTATAATCAACCATAACTCAAACAACGCCAATACCATTCCTAATGCCACGCGTAATCACAACACACACAAGCACACGGCACTAAACACACCTGTCATCAACCTATCACCTACAGCCCTCACGCGTAACCACAACCCTCACACAGCACACAGCACTATACACACACACACTGGTATTAACAGATCACCTACAGTACTCACACAACACACACAAAGCACACAGCACTATACACACACACACTGGTATAACAAATCACCTACAGTACTCACACGTAACCACAACACACACAAAGAGCACACACACAATTCACACAGCACTACACACACACACACTGTTATCAACAGATCACCTACAGTACTCACACGTAACCACAACACACACAAAGCACACAGCACTACACACACACACTGGTATCAACAGATCACCTACAGTACTCACACGTAACCACAACACACAGCACT